TTCAGAGAAATAAATAGTAGAAGGACCAAGGAACTTGCAGCAGGACCGTTTACAACCTAGGGCAGTGTTTCTTAAACTGTGTTCCATGGCACACCGGTATGCCGTGGAAAACAACAGAATTCAAAATGGCTGCCCCCCCTTTTTTTTTGCTCAATAACTTTCCCCCAACCTTTTCTTTCTTTTTTTTTCTTAACAAAAAATCCTTAGTGTTCCTCATTTTAAAAAAATTATTATTTTGTGTTCCTCAGTTTTAAAAAGTTAAAGAAACACTGTCCTAGGAAAATGCCTCCATCAGAGAGCTACAGAGTACAAGGGGGTACCTCACCGCCACTTTCTCCTCTCTGGGGTTTTGGGAATCTGGCCACTTGCTTTTATGTTAAAAAAAAAAAAAAAAAAGGGTTAGCTAACATTTGAGTTTTGAAATGAGTAGTCCTGTGGCACCTTAGAGGCTAACATATAGGGTATGTCTAGACTGCATCCCTCTGCAGACAGAGGGATGCAGATTAGGCAGGTCAACATTGCAAATAAGGCAGGGATTTAAATATCCTGCGCCTAATTTGCATAAAAATGGCCATCGCGTTTTGCCAACTCAGCACTTTGTCGGCAAAAAGCAGCGGTCTAGAGGGGGATCTGTCGAGAAAGAAAGCCTTTTTTGACAGATCTTGTAAACCTCCTTGCAGGAGGCATAAGGGATCTGTCAAAAAAGGCTTTCTTTCTCGACAGATTCCCCCTCTAGACCGCTGCTCTTTGCCGACAAAGTGCTGAGTTGGCAAAATGCGACGGCCATTTTTATGCAAATTAGGCACGGGATATTTAACTCCCTGCCTTATTTGCAATGTCGACCTGCCTAATCTGCATCCTTCTGCCAACACAGGAATGGAGTGTAGACATACCAATATATATGTAGTAGTATAAATTAGCTTTTGTGGGCAAAACCCTCTTCTTCGGATGGTTTGAACAAAATGTTTTTAATTTTTAACATTTTCTATTTAAAAAAATCAAAAATCTGAAATTTTTCCTTTTCAGCATAGCCTGAATGCGACCCAATTTGGTTTTTAATGTTTCAGAAATTCTAGCGAATTGAAAGATCAGCTGTTTCCCCAATCCTACTTGCAGATCAACAAATAATATGCAGGTCAGCTTTAGGACTATGATTTTTGAGTGCGGAAGACAGACAAAATTAGTGCCTCTCCATCTAAGCGTGCCCTGTTCATTTTGAACCATACATCAGCAAAAATTAGACTAATGACTGGGGATCTCAGAGCCGAAAGTTTCTCCCACCACTGAAACAACCGTTCATTTAAAGTGGAGGTTTGTCAGAATCTGACTGCAGTATGACACAGACTTACTCAAGTAGTGAGTGATATACCCTGTTCACCTTACTTTCGTAGAATTCCAATTTACCTTATTTTTCACAAGGGTAAGGTGGGTAGTTTACCCATAAACTATCAGTGACAAGGGCCAATTACCTAATCACAAGAGCAGGCATGTGCATAGGAGAAAAAGGTCAAGGAACCAGATTTGATTATGTGGCACAATGGGACCTGCTTTTCTGGTATGGAGAGAGAATTATGGCAGTTCATTGAGCAGGTCTGGCACCACACTGCCCCATTTGCAAGTCCCTTGGGCAGATTAGCTTAACTAGCCATGATTTACTGCACGTCTGGAAAATGCAGGCGTTTAAACTTTGCCAGTATTTTATAGTTCGTTATGAGTTTAACATAGTGTTGATTTCCATGTTTCTTTTACTAGCCCTACATTAGACAGCATTAACGACCACTACACAATGTAACAAACTAGTCGGCTCTACACCGCAGTGTGAACTCCCTACCTTATTACTGAATGGCAACTATTTCATTGTGCATATCAACTACTCCTCGTAATGCTTCCAGACAGCAATATTTTCAATGCACATTTCTTCCAGTTTCGAAAACTGCAGTTTTACGGGAAAGCTATTAATGGGTCACTGTTCTCAGTTCTCACATCTCAGGTGCTGGAATAAGACTGTTTAGTTTGAATGTGACAAGGTGTTTAGAAACAGACTCTGCTTTATGCTTTGTATTTATTCTCTTCTCCAAAAATATCTTGCATGAAAATGTAAATAAAGAATTCCTAGCGCTGATCGG